CGCACAAAGATGTACAGACAGACGCCCACCAGCTGTGCCGAGGTCAGGAGAATGTACCTATGAGCGCGCGAGATGGCTTTCTGAAGCTGCTCACCCCACATCTTCCTGTTGGTGGTACTAGAAGTGGAGACAGGAGCAGGTGCCATGGGTGTGCCAGCCCCCACCTGCCAGCCCCTCCAACCCCCGCGTCATTCCCTGCTTGCACCCCAGTGTGCATGAGTCTTCATGCTGCCACCAAATGATCTAGGTATTTCTGGTTGTGTCTTGCACATCCCAGGAGTCCCCTCCTCAACCCATGAACCCTACACGGGTCCTTCGCATAAAAGCTCTACAGGGTCAGCTTTACTTATTTGCATCGATGGCTCTCTGAACTACAGCTGGGCCAGTTTTGGGGGGATATCTGGTGATGTCATCCCAAGTTAATGCTACTCCACTGGCTTTGAGTCTTTCCTCTGCTTTGTCATCATCTTTGCCCCAGCACCTGCCTGAGGCACCCCCTCCCCCACTGCTCCCAGCCGGGACCTAGCTCGAGCACTCCCACTGCTCCCACCCAGCACCTAGCTCCCAGCACTCACACTCACCTGGCATTGACGATGTTGCCAGCACTGAGCTCCACCATCTCTTCAAAGCCCACGGCATAGATATCGGCCGGGCTGCTGTCGTCTGGGGAACGTGGCAGGGCATAGGAGAGATCAGAAGAGCCCTGTCCTGCAGTCCTGGGTCACGAGGACCACCTCTCCCTCCTCTGAGCCATGCTGTCCACTGCCTGAGTCCACTCAACCTGGCCACTTGTGGGCAACAGCCACTTGGGCCTCCCTCCCCCCGTCAGCACCACTGTGCCTGTTGCCCATGCTGTGTCCGTCCTGGGGCACAGCACAGCTCTCTGTGTCCATCCTGGGGCATGTCATGGCCCTCTCTGAACCCATTCCTTCCTCAGCAAAAGGGATGGCCAGCACCACTCACAGACACCGTGGCTGAGACGCCCACCCCACCACACAATCACAGGGCAACTCCTCACTCCCGCGACTCCAGGGACCCATGTCCCCAGCCAGGCCCTCAGCGGCCTGGGGCTGTGCCTGCTCATGCTTAGCTGGCGCCTCCCGAGTGCTCACAGGGCCGGGCAAGGACGTGGTTGCATCGAGGGGCCCGACGTGGGGTTGGAGTGGAGAAAAGCCCAGCCCACGGGGGCTGCCACTGCTTCTTGGAGCCACTTCACCAGGATCTGCTCCCCAGACGTTGGATGTAAGCAAAGCACGGGGACCCTGCAGCTGCTTCCCTCCAGGCTGTCTGTGTTCCCGCGAACAGGGAGGTAGGGGTACACAGGATCCCTATAGCCACTTCCTAAGCATCCCCTGCCATGTCCTGTGGCGCTCGGGCACCTGAGCCTCGAGCCCGGACGTGAGGCTGCTGCTGCAGAAGCGAGACACCTCCCGCCCAGGGCCGGGCAGGCCCTCTGCCTCCCCACCCCCCGCAGGTGCACAGGGCACCCTGGAACTCATAGCTGAACTTGCTTCCAAGGAGCAGCGGCCGGCCTCCTGTCCATGGTCTGTGAGGGCATCTCCTTCCTCCCCTCGCCTGCGGGTTCCCAGAGCCCCTAAGGCCCATCCCAAGGGAGTCCCCAGCAGCAAGAAGCACAGCCAGCTCGCTTTGGCCATCACCCTTCCCTGCAGGCAGCACAGTGGAGTCACGGTGCCCGGCCACAGAGCCACAGCAGCCAGCTGCACCACAGGCCGCTCCGGGGCCGCTCCAGCAGGCCCTGGTCGCACCACGCACGTGGTCAGTGCAGGCCACCCCGACACAAGAATCCCAGGGGCTCTCAACCGTGGACTCTGCCACCCGGGGCTCTGGGCACTGCCTGGGCAGCCGAGCGGGATGTTCCAGAGCGGGGCCTCTGCAGGTGGGGACCACAGGCCCTCACCCCCAGGCACAGACCCCGTCACGAGCCTGTGCCTGAGCCCAGACGGGACACAGCTTGGCCCTGAGCAAACGCTGACCGGGAAACACCACTCATTGTTTACCCTGAGCTCCCGGGCCCCTGCACAGGGCCTTGCCCGGTGCTTCTGTAAGACAAGTTGAGGCGTCCCATTAGAAATGGTCCTATCCCTAAGAGGCACACCTGTTCTTCGCTGGTGACTTACAGCAGATGACTTAATGGAGATTGAGCAACCCTAAACCTGAAGTGTTCGGGGCCAAAGCGTTTTGGGTTTCTGTTTTGATTTTGCAATTTTTGCACAATATCCTGCAATACCTTGTGGGGGGCGGGGGCGGGGGGGGGCCCCAAGGCTAAACGGGAAATTCTTCTGGGGTCTCAGGGACAGCTTAACCACATGGCCTGAGGTGGTTATTACAGTGTTTAGTGCGCTTGCGTCTTCCCTGGGGCCCAGCACGCAAGGCCAGGCATGGAATTTCCCGCTTGCAGCCCTGTCGGCACTGGGGGAGCTTTGGATGTGGGAGCGTCCCTGATTGTGCGTGTTCAGATCGGGGATGCCCAGCCTGCTGCCGTGGTCAGCACTCACGTCCCTCACGGGCCTGCAGTGACATGACTTCCGCCTGGCACACCAAGGCCCTCCCCACCCCACCCCCCTGCCCCCCAAGCAAAGGCCACACGAGCTCCGTGCACGGGGAGGAAAGAGCAGCTCACCCTCCCAACACCGTGGGAGACAAAATCCCGGCCCAGCTGCCCGTGAGCGTGAGCGTGAGCCCTGGATAGCAGCAGTCACGGCTCAAGCTCTTGGGTCCCCGCCACCTACATGGAGACCTGCACGGAGTTCTGGGCTCCTGGCTTTAGTCTGGACCGGCCCTGGCTCGTACAGGCATTTGGGGCGTGAACCATGGGTGTCGGTTTCTCCCTCTGCCTCTCACATAAAATGAAAACGAAATGAACCACAAACGCGAGCCCAGGCTGATGCTTCAGGCTCGGTGGAACCTGCGCTCCATCCTCACCGGGGGCCTCGGCCGCTCCCAGGAGCCCGGGCGAGTCAAGTAGCCAGGCTGCCAGCTCCGCGGTGCCCAGCAGGTTGCTCCGGAACTGCTTCCCTCCGTTCACGTTCCAGGTCCCCACGGCGACCTGGACCTGTTTGAAGTTTGTGAATTCCGACTGCCGCTCTGTCATGGCTTTCAGAATCCTGGGTGTCACTGTGAAGAGGCAGAAAGAGGCATGAGGTGTTGGGGGGGAGGCCTGCCGGCCAGAGACAGTGATTCAGGCCCCCATGATGGCCTCAAATGCACTCCCGGGGAGAGGACAAAGGCCAAGCACCCCAACCAGCGCCCTTCCCCACGCCACGTCTGCAACCAGAGCCTGAGATCACACGGCCCGAGACGCTCCCGACTGAGCCGCATGGAGGCCCCACGGGAGAAGGTGGCACAGGGGGCCCCGCAAGGGGCCGCATCAGAAACACCAGACACCAGACACGAGGGTCACTTCTTACCACCCACCCCTGCCCCCTTGCCGGAAGGGTTGTTTGCTTCGGCAAACTGAAGGCTTGAGAAACACATGGCCGTGACCCCGTCCACCGGCTGGCCAGCCAGCGCGCCTCCAGCGTCAGGCCCTGTGCTGTCTCCCTGGCACTGAGAGAGACTACGCCCTGCTCACTCAGAGCCAACGCCATTCCCAGCATCCCCCTGGCCAGGAGAGCCCCAGCAGGAGCTCCCGGGAGGGAACAATGCGAGGACAGAGGGCTAGGAAGCTGTTCTAAACAGGAGCCCACGCAGTCTTCAAAAACGCCCAGAATTCCCAAAACCAGACGTCTAGGCTCTTAGAAGGAAAATGCCGGTCTCCCTCGTTTTCCATCAGACCTTTAACGTTCGCAGGCTCCAGGGTGCCAGGCGTCACTCAGTACCTCCCTGGCAAGCCCCTGGCTGGAGGCGCCCTCGTCCCTGGGGAGGTGACCGTGACAGTGCCCCTGCCTCCTCCTCTGTCTGCAGGGCGTCGGGAGCCAGAGCAGAGAGGCAGGAGGCCCACCCCGCGGGAAACACCACTGACCCGTGCCCGTCCAGGGACGAAGCTTCCGGGCGGCAGGGCGCCACTCTGCGGAGTGAGGTGGCTTCGGGAGACAGGGACCCTGTTGGTCAGCACGGGCTCTCACGGAGATGGCCCCACCCCCGCCCTCCTTCAGTGCGGACAGCGCAAGGCAGGAAGGCAGGAGTGAGCTGCTGCTCTGGGCTGAGCGTTCCTGCGTCCACGGCTTCCACGCTCATGCATCCAAGCAGCCAGCCGTGGGCGGAAAACACAAGAGAAGCCTGCACCTGTCCCGAGCGTGCAGACGTGTGCGGGCCGTTACTCCCTCAACAACACCGAATTCAACTATCTACACAGCTACGTAATGCCAGGTGTTACAGGCAGCCCAGAGACAACGCAGGGAACAGCAGAGCACGCGCTTGCACACGAGGGACCGGCGCGGTCTCCATGATGGGGTGCAGGGGATGCTGTCCTGAAACCATCCCCCGCGGGGACTGAGGGCTAACTGAGAGCTGTCAGGTCACCCGGCTGGACCACAAGGCCACAGGCCAGAGGCCCGGAACCCCTGGGGGCACCTGCCCCGGCTGTGCCGGGTGACACGGGGCGAGTGGGGCTGGCGGGCGAGCAGAGCAGGGCCCCTTACTGAGGAGGGCCGTGTTGTCCAGGAGCATTCTCCCCTTGTCCGCCGACTCCTCGCCGCAGGCGTCCCCGACCAGCAGCAGCCGGATGGCCTCCTGCCTCACCCCGTCGAAGAAGCTGGACTGGATGGTGCGTGACATGGACCGGGCCCCGTCCTTGAACTTCCCCACCTGCGTGAGCCCCAGCGCGGGCGTGAGAGGAGTTCCGTGCTCCCGTCCCCGCCCCTGCCCCCGCCCCTGCCCCCACCCCTGCCCCTACCTTGGCCTTGCCCTCCAGGGCCCTGCTGCCAGTGAACACCTTGCTCAGGCTGTGCCCGTTCAGAGACCACATGGCTTTGAAAGCCTCCGCGAAGCGGTCAAGGATGGGTTTGGAGTTCAGCCCCAGACTCTTGAGCTGCAGGTGGAGGACCTGGGCGGGAGGAGGGGCCGGTCTCATCACCTCTGCCCCGCAGGCCGCACTGGAGCCGCAGCCTCCCGTGAGCTCCCTGCCGGCTGACTGTGGGTGCTCGGCCGGCGGCTGCTGTGGCGGCAGGCACGGCCGCTCCTGCAGCGAGGCAAGCGGCTCCCCTACCTTCACCCACACCTTCCACCCAGCCCTCCTCACATCCACAGCTGAGCCCCACCGGCGGGCCCACAGGGCTGGACGGCCGCCTGGGAGGTCAGCAGGACACGTGCGGATCTCCCCCAGCGGCGTCAAACCCAGCCTCGCGGTGCCTATCGGCAGAGCAGCCTTGGTGACCACCACACAGGACCATGGCTTCGCAGGGCCCCACGCCTAGATGCTGTCCAAACAGCGAGTGAGAAGGTGCGCCCGTGCCAGGGGGGGCCCGGGGCCCACGCTCTCTCCCGACGCCCGCGCTCTCTCCCGACGCCCCAGCGCCTCCCCGCCTGCAGGCCCAGGCCCAGCGCAGGTGGCCCGGGAGGCCGCGGCGGGGACAGACCTCCAGCGCGATGAAGCTCTGCACGATGTTGGTTCGGTCCAGGCAGTCCAGACAGTTCATCCGCAAAGTACCTTTCTGGAAACTTCAGACAAGAACAAGTGCACACAGTTATGGGCCGTGCTCAGAGGGGCAGTGCCCGCCCATTCCCAGAGACACCTGTTCTGGTCGAGAACTCTCCCCACCTGCAGCCAGGCAGGACCCCGGCCCACAGCCCGAGGGGTCACCGGCACGGCTGGAGTGGCAGGTGAACCTCAGACCCCGCTCTTGGGAGCAGCTCACCCCCCAAACCCCTGCACACACAGCCGGTCACTGTGCATTGATCAAGTTGCACAAACACCAAATTAGCAAGTGTTGGACCACAGCTCCTAGAGGAAACAGGGGTTTAGGTTCCTGCGGGTCTCTGCTCACGACATGACTGACCACGGCCTATTTAACATGTGTTTCTGTTAAAGACACCATATCAAGGGGCCAGTACTATGGCGAAGAGGATTAAGCCACCGTGTCAGAGGGCCTGTTTTAGTTCTGGCAGCTCTGCTCCCGATCCAGCTCCCTGCCAACGCCCCTGGGAAAGCAGTGGAAGGAGGCCCGAGTACGTGGGCCCCTGCCATCATGGGGGATACCCGGATGTAGTCCTGGCTCTTGACTTCAGCGTGGCCCAGCCCCAGTCATCACGGCCATGTGGGAGTGAACCAGCAGATGGGAGATCTCTCTCTCCCTCTGCCATTCAAATAAATACATTTAAAAAAAAGACACCTTGTTGAAGACACTCAGACCCATTCTGACTTCGAAACGGGCTGCCTGGGATGGAACTTGTGGTTGGTCATGGACTCCCAGAGGTACGATTTCCCCTTCTTGTGCGTGGAAATGCTAGCGGTAACTCGGCACCCGCGTGGCGAGTGATCTACAGGAGACACAGAACCCTGACAACGCAGCGCAAGTAAGGGAAAGGGCTCCCGTTGACAGTGTGAGCGCTCGGCGAGGGGCCAGACCCTGCCTGGGGACGAGAGCCTCGGGCGACTCAGACTTCTCACACTTTGCACGCGTCTGTGAATGACCCAGAACGTGCTGCCCTGAGCGTCTGTGAATGACCCGGAACGTGCTGCTCTGAGTACTGGTTTGAGGGGGAGCAATCCGGTTTAGCGAGGAGGTGAATTCACACAGATGGAATAATGAGGCTCGACTGTGTGTGGCTGGAGGAACCTGGACTCCACTCCCCAACTCTGCACAGCACGCCCACAGCCCCGATCGCTCGGCAGCCCGGGTCTATACCAGCCATGCTCGCCACAGTGCGGGTACAGTGCTGTTACAGGGTCTTTGGGCTCCACATTTCAGCACAGTCCCTTATTACTGCATTTCTTTTTAAAGGTTTATTTATTTGAAAGGCAGAGTTTCAAAGCAAGAGAGAGAGAGGTCTTCCATCTGCTGGTTCACTCCCCAAATGGTCCCGAAGACTGGGGCTAGGCTAGGCTGAAGCCAGGAGCCAGGAGCTTCTTCAGGGTCTTCCACATAGATACAGGGGCCCAAGGACTTAGGCCATCCTCCGCTGCTTTCCCAGCTGCATTAGCAGGGAGCTGGATTGGAGGTGGAACAGCTGGGACTCAAACTGGTGGCCATATGGGATGCCAGCGCTGTAGACGGTGACTTAACCCACTAAGCCACACCACCAGTTTTCTCTATTTTCAAAAAAATTATTTATTTGAAAGGCAGAGCTACTGAGAGAGAGAGAGAGAGAGAGAGAGAGAGAGAGAGAGAGAGAGAGAGAGAATCTTCCATCTGCTGGTTCACCACCACCCAAATGGCCAGAATGTCCAGGACTGGGCTGGGCCAGGCTAAAGCCAGGAGCCTGGAACTCCATCCAGGTCTCCCACATGGGTGTGGGAGACGCCCTTAAAAACCCGGAGCCAAACAAAGACTGCACGCTGGGCTCTCTCAGCTCTCAGCCGCCTGCCTGGCCTGTCAGGTGTGCTCTCTCCATTTAACCACGTCACCTCCCTTTCTCCCAGTCTGAGTGACTGGGCACTCTCTCTCTGTCCCTTCCACCCTGACGGATGCCCTGTCCCCAGTAAAACCTTGCTACCTTGCTCTCTGTCTCACGCCTGAATTCTTCCTTGGGTGAAGACAAGAACCCCCGACTTGGCATCACAGGCAGCAGCTCGACCTGCTGCAACAACACTGGCCCCTAGTACACTGCTTTAACAGAGTCCCTTTATTTGTACATTCCTTTTGCCAGAAAGCCATGCTCTACCGTCTGTTGGGACCATTCAAAAGCACACTCTGCAGATTCGGGAGGGCAGAAGGCTGGGCCCCAGGACACTGATAACTCCGAGCCTACATCTCACGAAGCTGCGAACGCGGCAGGGCTGCCACAGCCCACTGCTCGCCGGGCCGGAGGCGAGACTCACCGTGGACTCGCGTGCTTGCCCTTGGTGAACACGTCCAAGTCCTCCCAGTGCAGCTGCAGCTGCGGCCGCAGCAGGGTCTCCAACTTCTCTAGCTTCCCGCCTTTGGCAAACTGATGCAAGTCAAAATTGATCATAGGCGTGTCGCTGGCGTGGCAGGAAGCCCACAGCAACTTCTGGAAACGGAAAGGGAACGGGCGTGAGGGGCTCAAAGGTCAATCCCCATCCATGGTGCACACTGGGGCTCGGCGGGCACGCTCTCGGGGGACCAGGCAGGAAGGACCCTGACCCAGGAAGGTCCTGGGGGGGCGCGAAAGCCACAGAGAGCATCTTGCCTGTAGATGGCCCCCTGTGGGCAACAGAGGCCGGGGCAGGGGTGGCTCCCTGGGGACATTGCACTTCTGCACGGCTCTCAGTGGGCACAGGCGAGGGAGGGGCCCAGTGCCCCAGCCCTCAGGGACAGCGGCCCACAGCTACAGAGCTCATAATCCAGCTGCTGTTGCCCTGGTGACCACCACAGCTTCAGGTGTCCGAGCGTCCAGTGCCCAATGGGACGGGCAGCCCAGTGAAACTTCGGGATGGGGGGGCCGGGGGTCAGCCTGGTTCTGGTCCCTCCCAGGAGCGGGGTGAAGGTGGGGACGCACTGGGGCGCTCAGCCGGGACAGCTCCCGCTCGTGCCAGGCTTTCCCGGCCCAGAACCTCCTTGCTGTGCTCATCAAAGCAGCCCAGCCAAGGCCAGGGTGGCACCTCCCCAGGCCGCCTGGCCCAGGGCCTCGGATCAGCCTGGGCCAGCATCTGTCCAGCAGAGGGTGATGGACTCTGGAGGACCGGAAGGAAGGGCCAGGAGGCCACCGGGCTGGGGAGGCTCTGAGTGCCTGTCTCTGATGAGCCAAGGGCAAATCAACACAGAAGCCTTGCTGTGCTGAACCAAGTGTTGTTCTTGGCAGCCATGGCCGATGGCCTGGGGCCAGCACCCCGCTCAGCTGTGAGCGACCTGCCGGGTCCCAGGCTGGGCAGCACTAACGCCATGGGGACCCCTGGTCAGGACCATGACTCAGGTCTCCAGGTGGAGTGGCCACCTGGTGTCCCCACCAGGCCACCTCCTGCCCCTCCGGGAACAGAGGAGCTGGGGCACCTGGGGGGTGAGGGGGTCCAGACTTTCCCCATAACTCCAGGCATAAAAGGCACAGATTTTGGTGGTGATGTTTTTTTTCTTCCTACTTAAAATAAGCAGCCAGCACCACTGCCAAGCCCTGTGGGACAGGCAACACTGCTGAAGTTTGCTGCCAATGGCAACAAACCAAACAGGAAAAGCAGGTCTGGCAACCAGAGCGTCCATGCTCCTAGCCTGGGGCTTTCTAAGCGGAGTGAGCGAGTGAGCGCCCAAGCTGGGCTTGCCTTATGCCAGCTGGGGGTCAAGGGCCAGGGACCAGGCGCCAGTGGCTGGCTGAAGGGAGGCCGGACTGCAGGCTCTCTCCACAAAGGGCTTCTGTGAGCTCCAAGCAGGCTCCGGCTTGGTCTCCATGAAGCAAGGCCACGGGAGAGCAGGCAGGACGGGGGCAGACGGCACATCCTGGAGCCTCTTCCCTAGGAGACTGTGTGCACCGGGAGAGAGCCCAGGGGAGACACCTGCTCCCCATGCCGATCCCTAGGCATGGGAGGAAGTTCCCTGGGGGCAGGCACAGCAGCTCCCACTGGCAGCCTACAGAGGGGTGAAGCAGGAGAAGCTGCCCACGCTGGACCCAGACCAAGGCACGTGTGCCCTGCAGCACTGGCAGGCGTGTGCAGAGTAGCCACACCCAGGGAGGAAGCCACACCACGTGGGAGGACATGGGCAGGCTCCACCTCTTCCCTCTCAGGACTGGAAGGCAGCTCTCCATGGGAGAGTGGGGAAGGCCTGGCCCCCGGGGCCTCACTGCCCCCAGGGTAGGGGAATGCAGCTGGGGATGGAGACGCTTGGCTTTATTTTGGATGTGAGCAAATTCTCCCAACACTCAGCTCATGAAAGCGGCGTGCAGTGCGCCAGGCACCTGTGCAGGGACGCCAGCTGCCCACGCTGCTCTGTGCGGCCCCACGGGCGCCTCCCTGTGACAGGGGCTCAGGTGTGGAGGAGCCGGGGGAGGGGCGCTCCTCACCTTGAAGGCTCTGTTGAGCACCTCCTCTCCACCTCTGCTGCCCAGCAAGTTCACGACCACCTGCTTCCCGTACTGCTCCTTCAGAAGCACCATGTGCCTGCAACGACAGGTGGGAAGGCGGCCGGTGAGGCCGCAGCGTCCAGGCTCGGACCAGGGGTCCGCCCACCCCTCCAGGGAAGAGGTGGAGAAGGGACCAGAGGATGAGCCATGGCCATGACCCCCCCAAGTGTAGAACACGAGCCCGAGGGTGCAGAAAACCCGTCTCGCCAGCCACCATCGCCATTCCCTAGAATTCCCACTGGCAGGAACAGGTAGGCAACGGCCAGTTAGCATGGAAGGCACAGGCTAGGAAGGGCATGGTGCAGGCCAGGCGTCCACTGTGCCTGCAGATCACGGCCACTCGGTCTACACCAGCTAGCCTGACCTCGCATGAGCACAGTGGGGTCAACATCATGCTGCATAGGCCTGGAATTGACCTCTCTTTCCACTGGCTCCCGGTCCCTCCCAGAAACAGAAAACCTCAAGGAAAACCAACGATCTCAGCACCCGCTCTCCTGTCCAAGTGCTGCGTCGCAGGATGTGGAGCCCAGGCAGGGTGGTGGAACCAGTTTTGTGGGCTTCACACACGGTCCTGCACCGGACGGAGGGTGTTTAAAGACGCCTGGCGAATACGAGGGAGCACCTCCACCATGGGCCCTGTGCTTCCAGATTGGTGAAAGTAACTGTCGTCTTGAAGTTGGGAATGTCTAAATGTTTAGAAGGGAGGAGGAGCAGGTGTTGGGCACAACAGTGGGGTTGCTGTTTGGGATACCTGCACGCCTGGGTTCAAGCACCACTCTGCTCCCCAGCCCAGCTTCCTGCTAATGCATACCCTGGGAGGCAGCGGGTGATGGTTCAAGGCCGACAGGTCCCTGCCACCCGTGTGGGAGACCTGCAGTGAGCTCCCTGTTCCTGGGAACCAGAGATGGAAGATCTAGCGCTAGGCTCATCCTCTCTCCCCCCATACATACTTAAAAAAATTATTTATCCAAAGGGTAGAGTTAGAGAAAGAGAGGGAGAGATCTTCCCATTCACTGGTTCACTCCCCAAATACAAACAACAGCCAGGGCTGGGCCAGGCTG